ATTTTTGCGTCACTGGCTCCAAAAATCCAAGATGTCAACCAGGAAGTAGCAAAACCCTGGCTTCATTTTCTCAGTGCAGAAACCAACGGGTGACATCACGGTAGCTACGTCCATCTTTTATACAGTCTATGCTTCAAACACTGTTTACCGTCATTAAGGCTCCCTCAGAAACACCTCATCCTTCTGTTCGCTATGTTCTTGTTGGTTTTGCATTGTTCAGGGACTCCCTGTTTGCACTGATCACCTTTCCCCTTCTCTCCTCTTTCTTTTTTTCATACAGTTATATACCACCATTGCATGTCATTTGCTTTGTGTCCTGTCGTTTCTGTTGTTTGACTTTTGTCTTCTCTGCAGGTATCTCTGTAATTGGAGCTACACGTATCTGATCTATATCCACAGGCCTCCCCGATCCCCACAAGGCATTCTTTGTTTTCCATTGGCCATTCCGCTATCCCCTCCCTAAACTTTTACTTACTTGTATTACGTGACATTCTAAGTAGCTCCTTCAGATTTTCTGAGGCAAAGAGATTGATCATCATTGACATTCAACAATTCTTCTCTGTCCACTTGTGCATGGAAGACTGGCAAAGTGGCACAAAGCAAAGGCCAGTTCCAGAATGCCTTTATGATGTCATTCAACAACTGAAATATGTGCATGAGTTGCTTTTTTTTTATTTTTTTAAATCAAAGTAAGGCCACCCAAATATGAAAAACAACTTTAGACATTAAGTAACTGTACTTGACCACAGTGACCTAATACAATCATTACATCACTTTCTTGAAATAATTACATTATGTGATTTATTTTACATTGATTATTTGACATCATTTGCATTCCAGTGATTACATTATGCTGTTCACATTCAAATGTCACTGAGTTTTTTTTCACCTGTGGAATATCATCAAACTCAGGAACATCCTGCATCAGAGTGATGCTGACAAACGAGTCCATGCAATCACAGGCATGTGCCATGAGCTCTAGGGTTAGGTAGGCAGACACACCAATGGCAATTTATTTGTGTAGGCAGGTAAGTGCCTGCTTAATATTTCAAAATCAAGATTGTATGACACCATGAAAAAAACTTAGACAATATTTCAATAGAGGTCCCCAGACTCTCCCAATTAACTTTATATCTCATGACAAAACAACGCCTTCCTTGTTTGTGTTCGAGACATAAAAAGACTGAGAAAATGTGAATTTGGACACGGATGTCTGCTGAGCTGAAACGTCTCTCCCTCTCTCTCTAGGATTCACACCCCAGATACACATTTAATGAAAGAATACCTGAAAGCAGCATCCACATCATGGCTGGAAGGAAAAGACACTAATCGTGAGAAAATGATCTACAAGGTTCTTTAATTTAAATTGCTGGAATATTAAATATGAGAGTGAACACAGCAGGGTATGAATGTAACACAACAGAAAGTGTGATGTTTTCGTCATATATTTTAATCTTATGAAACTGCTTGTTTTCCTGGTTGAGGCCAAAGAGCATTTTTACTGTCTTGGATAGATTTTCATTATTATTATTATTATTATTATTATTATTATTATTATTATTATTATTATTAATAATAATAATAATAATCATCATAATGTGAGTTATGGAGAACTACAGCACTCTGATTACATGGGCGCCACACAGTTAACTGACAACACATCGTTCTGGACTGTTTTATGTTAAATAGCAGCAGAAAAGTGTGGTTCAGTGTGATGCTCAAACCTCTGTAACGTTATTGTTTCTGAAAGAGTAAGAATCATTACAACAGATGTTTTTCTCAGTGAAATGAACAGAAGCTGAAAACAGTCCACAGTCTGATACTGAACCAGAGAACAGAGACATGAACTGAACTGGGCTTCATTCATTCTTATACAGTCCACTGCCAACTTTTAAATCGACCTCCCGCTACAGCTGCCTGTTCACATCCACTTTCCAGGCGTGTTGCAGTTGAGCGAACTCAATCTTGGCACTGATTCGTCAGTGCTTCTAGAAAGACCAATCAGAGAAACCGATACTGCACCCTCCTATCGCCACAGCCGTTGGACATGGTATGGCTTGCTAGTTGCTTAGCAGGGGGTAACGCTCAGCTTTAAAGTCATGCTGCATTCAGGTCACATCGATAGACTGTATTTTCATTTTCAGATATAACAACGCTAAGTTAAAACTTCGTAGATTTTACGTCTTTTGTTGATTTTATGCTTTCCCCCCGACGTCTTTACGCACTTGGCTCTTTTCGTTGTCAAAAGAATACATTTAAGTGCATTAGCTTAGTTAATACCAATATAACTATTGACATTCACTGGGGTCGCGAGCCCCTCCGTGTGATGTAAACTTTTGAAGCTGTTATTCAGCAGCTAACTCAGTCTATCTGCAGTCTAAATGCTGCTATTGTATTTTTAAGTGAATCGTGCACTTCGTCGCTTTGCTGTAAGCATCCTTTATATACAGTCGAGAATTTTGCGCTTGGGCTCTTACATTTAGCATTACCACATGTACCGTGAAGGCAGCACCACTAGTTTCTTCAAGATCAGCCCACAGGTGGCTGCAACTGTTGTTTAGTTGTACGTAAAGTAATAATCATGTTTGGTTGCTCATACTAACACGTAACTCATTTTCAAGTTTTTATTAAGTTTTTTTGATTCAATAAATTAATGTGAATTTAGGTTTATAAAACTGTTAAACTGACTGGCTTAATATCTGCGTTCGACAAGTCAGGTCTGAGAAAGTTGCTGAGGGCGCACTGTTGACAGTTATGGAAGTACAGAGCAGCGGGGCAGTTCAAATGTCCCCCAGACAACATTAGCTTTCCTAGCAAATGGCCACAATGGCGTCTGTTACAGTAAGTATAGTAGTTTTTTATTTATTTATTTTTTTTATGAGATGTGAACGCTGAATAACGTGCTCTACTGATAGCCGAGTCGGCAGGTTTGCTAGCTGCGGCTGTGCTGAGAGGATTTGCTGACTGAGGCTGTCAAACACACATTAGCTCCTTTCTGTTACCGAGTCACAGCATTGCTTGTAAATGTCTTTCCTCGCCTCCTGAAGTTTTCTGCTGAGTGGAATGTCTCTAATGTCTGTATCGGTGGGGCACTCAGGCGGCCAGCATACCAACGGGACTTCCTGCCCAGCCCACACCATAGCCTACTCCTCATACGAGTCCAGGCGTTAAGACAATGAAATCAAAAGGATTAAGCACTCTTCTCAGTGTTCACTCAACAGTATCGAGAACTGGACCCCTTCCAATGGCAGCAGAAGTGAAATGTGTTAACAAATTGGCTGACCTTACCTTGACTACACACAGGTCATGTTTTAGCAGTTGGATGCTATGCTGTTACTCTATTGCTTCATTAAAACTGCAGACTTTTCTTGACCGATTGTGTAATCGAGAGCATTGTCATTACAGGAGGATCCCACCCTGGAGAGACACTTTAAGGGACATAAAGATGCTGTCACCTGTGCAGACTTCAATCCAAACCGCAAACAACTTGGTAATTCGTAATGCTGCTAAAAGCTTAATCAGTGACGGGCTACTGTTAAGATGTGGTTTTTTTGGCCATGTGCTGAAAGGGCTGAACAGTTATTTGAAGCATTATCAAACACAATATGGACAAGTGCAATACCTCAGTCTTAGGTACTGCAGTTTTTTGATAAAGGTGAAATTACCAGTCACAGCATGCAATTTTCCAGATTCCCTTACATGAATTTTTTTTTTCATTGGCAAGAAATGAGTGAAATAAGCAGCATGCATCAGCATTTCCGCCTTGAAATTGCACTGTACTGTCTCAGACATATAGATTTAGTATTCAGGATTTTCATATGCAAAAAAAAAACAGAAACAAGAACCGATCCTGTCAATTTAAAGGGGGCTTTTTATATCATTGTTCTACTTCAGAATTGGTTTCTGGCTTGAATGTTCATACCTGATTTGCTCCAATATTGCAGCTTGTCATTGTGTAGTGTAGAGTAGTTTTACAGTGTTTGAGCAGAGTTGTAGGAGAGCTGGTGTGTTCAAGCTGCAAGGGTGAAACTTTAAAATGAAGAACTGTTGTGCAATAAAAATGTCCAGGCCTATGAATCATATTATCCAGGTTTAAGGGAACGTTCCTGTTTGGTACAGACCACAGCAAAAATTATGTCATCATTTTTATTTGTTTTTTGGTGGGAAAAAAATGTCAAAAATGTGTATTCCCACTAAAATCACAAGTCTTATCACTTTAGCAATATCAGTCAAAATAACTGCAATATGATTATTTTTGTTTTTGCATATCATTCAACCTGATCCTATGCCATTCATTGGTTCCCAAAAACACTGATTTTCTCACCTGTGTAACAGATGTACAAATATGTAGGGATAGTTATGTATGTTCAGTGCTTAACAAATGTATTAAACCATCTGTCTAATTTGTTAAGCACTATGTGCATTAAAGCATTTCGTGATACTGGAAGGTCTATCTATATAGCTCCCAACATTTTACCATTTTGAACAGAAGAAAGGAATTTCAAACTGAATTCATGTTTTAATACCCAAACTTGAGGCGGCTCACTGGGCTTCTCTGAGAAGTCAGAAATTAGTCAAGCATAACATTCAATCAGTAAAACCATTTTTTTCTGTTCAGGAATGCAAGTAAGTAACTGTAATTTGACATCTTTGTCAAAAAATAATGCTTCACTAATTTTTCTTTTTTTTGTAAAACAATAAATTTGAAAATTTATGTATAACAATTTTATTTTAGCAATAAAAGTGTCATTTTGGTTAAAGAACTTCTACATGCTGGTGTATTAACCATTACAGAAACATAAAAAATGATTATGGTAATTATGAATGCTGTTGATTTAGGGCAGCTGTGGCATAAACCTTACATTGAGTAATGGTCTAATACATTTGTTCAGCACTGTGTATATCTGTAAAAGAAGGTTATTTAGTAAAACAATCAGATCTTTAGTAATAACTGCACAACTTTGTTTACTCTTCATGTACACTACTTGTATGCAATGGCTTGTCATGTTTATATACTGCACCTATAGACTGTTCAGCTAGAACTGGGAGTATCTAATATGTTGTTTCATTATCAGGTTCATTATGATGGTAACACACGTAACTGGTCAAAAGTTTGGGCTCACCAATCCAAATAAAATCTGTTTCATGTTTTAGGTTATTTGATGTAGCCACTTTGTGTCTTGAATCAAGAAAGTGGCCACATCAAATCAAGACTCTTGATGACAGCTTTAAACACTATTGGCAACATCTTTACCATGATGCAGTGACCTGGAATGATTTTGACGAACAGCTGAGCCCTGTCAAAAGTTACTGGTGGACCTTCTTGCCAACGTAATGCCTTCGAGAGCATCAGTTTTGCTGTGCTGAGGTAGTGTTGGTATACAGCTAATAGTTCTATTGGACTGTTTGAATAACCCATGGTATGGCAAGAACCACTCAAATAACCAAATAGAAACAACAGTCCATTGTCAGTCAGCAAAAAAACATAAAATGCTGATGTGATGAAAGTTGCTCTCATGGAGTCAAGGAGAACCACGTCAGGGACGGAAGACCACAAGTTCTCTCTGCTGCAGAGAAGAAGGTCATCAGAGGTGCCATTCTCAGAAATCACTAATCTATAAAACCTCAGGTTGGATCCCATATCAGGGCTTCCCATCGTTCATAGAACAGCCACATCTCACCTGAATGTAAGAATGGGAGAATGTGTGCAAAAAAAATTGCGACAGACCAAGAGGAGGAAGACAACAGTTTGACCATAAACACCAGGAATAGGCATTAGTCCAATTAAAGTCTGGGCTTAAGTTTAACCAGCATTACTACCACAGCAGAGCATACTACAGGACAACGACCCCAAAACACCTCTAGGTTCCGTAAGGCCTGTAGATGCATACTCAGGCAGCTGTTGACATCACAAATGGGTCGTTGTTTTAAATTGTAGTACTTTCTTTTGGAGTAGGGTTGAACAATTAACGTTTTCAAATCTAAATTGCAATTTAAAACAATGCTATTAGCAAACTGCAAACACAGTTTAGGATATATGTTATGCAGCACCTGTGCCCTGCGGTTTAAACTGTTCTATCAGTTGTTTATGCCATCTTCTATGTGTGAGAGCATGTTTTTGATGGTGTCTCATGTGGTAATGCTGGATCACATGTTTTAAATCTTTGACACAGTGAATGCTGAGCTAAAGCTTGACCTTAAAAAAAATATTGCAAATCAAATCGCTATAGCGGGCAGAAAAAATACGATTACATGTTTTCTCCACACTTGGAGTTCACTTGGAGGACATGTCGTTTCATGCACAGCCCATCGGCATCTCTGTATTCTATCACTGCTCAACATGCAACACTACTGCCTTTGTAGCACAGAGCCTGTGTGGATCGAATTGTGAGCTACAAGTGCATGTCCACAAAGGGGTCCATGTACGTAGATGACCCTCAAGTACCAGAAACTGACATTGGAAGTATTCCTCTGGCCTCAGGGCTCTGTGGCTAAGAAGCAGTGGAATGGGGTAATGCATCAGATGACCAAGCCTCCGCAGTCACTGAATTAAACCCTGTTAAGATGGTTTAGGATGAGCTGGAGAGCAGAATTCAGTCAATGCAGCAAACAAGTGCTCAGCATGTGTGCTCTTTCAAGAAAAAAAAAAACTCTGATGGCCTCATGAAGCCAATTGAGAGATTGAGAAAATGCTAAGACTTTTATACAGCTGATATTAATACATAAATCCATGTGTGTTTATTCATAGTTTTGATGTCTTCAGTGTTGCTCTACAGTGCAGTCAAAATAATGAAAACTTGTTGAATTAGTGAAGTCCAACGGACTGACTTTATAAACTCAATCAACAATTTTCAGAGCTTTTACATCCAGCTGAAGAGTTAAGCTGAAACCTACTGCACCGTGTTCCAATAATGAGCTTTTTCTCTTGATTCCAGTCTTTTACTCTTTTAGACATTTAACGTGTAACTCTCCAACTTTTTTTTCTTTTGTCTCCCTCCAGCCTCGGGGTCAGTTGATAAGACTCTGATGATCTGGAATCTGGCCCCCAAGGGGAGGGCCTTTTGTTTTGTCGGCCACCAAGATGTCATCACTGGGTTGCAGTTCTCACCCTCCGGCACTCTGGTGGCATCTTCCTCCAAGGACAGAACAGTTCGACTGTGGACACCTTCCATGTAGGCATCAGTCACTGTATCCTGAACCGTACAGATGATTTAAACTGTGAAATAAATGGCCTGATGCACAGTTTGGGTTTGAAATCAAATGTGTTTGTTATTTTTTGTGTGTGTCGTAGTAAAGGAGAGTCAACAGTGTTCAAAGCCCACACAGCAGCTGTACGCAGTGTTGCTTTCTCCCATGATGGCCAGAGACTGGTGACAGCGTCCGATGACAAGTCTGTCAAAGTGTGGAGCGCTCATCGGCAGTGCTTCATCTACTCCCTCAACCAGCACACTAATTGGGTGCGCTGTGCTAGGTATACAGCAACACCGTATCCTTAGTAGCGTCTTGCACTCTAGAATGTTTGTGTAGACATGTCTTACCTGAAAATATCTTATAAGCTTGATAGTTATGTACTTCTAAACATTTTGCACTTTTCTTTTGAATAAAGCACAATGTGAAACATCTGTTAGAGAAGAGTAGGTATAATTCTGGAGTCAAACTAATATACACTGATTATGTATAATTGTCCTTTCATGTTCTGCCTTGTCATAGATTTTCTCCAGATGGGAGGCTCATAGCTTCTGGTGGGGACGATCGGTCTGTCCGGCTTTGGGACACATCCACCAAACACTGCATTAACTGTTTCACTGACTATGGAGGGTAAGTCCCCCCGAAAACAGCTTTAGTGTCCTTTTGTTCCCCTTAGCATTAGTTTTGCTATCATGTTGCTTTTTGGTTTGTTACTGAAATTAGTTTTAGTTAGATGATTATATGTTCTCTTTTGCAGAACTGGCACCATCACTGGATTATTACACCATGTTTTCCTTTTCTAAAGCAAAAACAATATAATTTCCAAACAGGATGTGTGAAAAATCACAAAGTACATTTTAATGCTGATAAAATGCCAAAACATTACAAATTGATTATTTTTTTGCTAGATATATGTCAATTGCTCTGTCTCTTCCATAGATGGCATTGTTGTGTATTATTTAAGCACTAGACTGTTGGTTTGCTGCAGACCACTGACTCTACTGGGTGTTTTTATTTTTCCAGATCAGCAACATTTGTTGATTTTAACTCCAGTGGCACCTGTATTGCATCCTCGTCAGTCGACAGTTCACTGAAAATCTGGGATCTGCGGACCAACAAGCTGATTCAGCATTATCAAGGTTTGTCACAATGAAGGCTGCTATGTATCCAGTCACACAGTTGCCTGAAATATCCTTGCAAGTATTTTAAAAATGTACTACAGACACGACTGTAATTGTATTAATAGATTTTGAGCTGAGAAATACATTTATTTGATGATAAAGCTTACATGTTTTTTGTTTTGAGTTTAAGCTCCAGTTGTTTTTAATCAGTTTTTTGTGAATGTGGCTTATTTGTGTATCTTTGGGATCAGTCCACAGTGCAGGAATCAATAGTTTTTCCTTCCACTCATCCAACAACTACTTGGTCAGTGGCTCCACTGACAGCACTGTTAAAATCCTGGACCTGTTGGAGGGACGTCTCATCTACACCCTCCACGGACACAAGGTGGTGCTACAGCACAGCTCGGTTTACCCACAGACATACCTTGGACTCAATCATATACTCTACACACTCTAAAAAGACTTCCAGTATTTTCCCATTTTTGTCGTGGTGTATTTTTTAGTCATTAACATTGTGTACTATGTTTTTCAGGGTGCTGTGATCACGGTTGCATTTTCCAGAGTGGGAGATTTCTTTGCCTCGGGGGGAGCTGATAGTCAGGTTTGTGCCTAATGCCTAATACATGAAACACTCCTCATACATTCAAGGTTATACTGTTTACTTTTTGTTGCAGAAAATGTGTTAACATTGACAGAAGTTGTGGTTCCCTAGGTGCTGCTGTGGAGGACAAACTTTGACAGCAGATCTTATCAGGATGTCCTACAACAACACAGTCGGAGGTCCACCCCAGATCCCTCACCCCACCTGGCTGATATTTATCCAAGGACACCCCACCTTCATCACCCACAGTCCACAGCCATTCAGGTCAGTTCAGTTTCACTTTATAAATAAAGAAATGTTTTAAAGACATATTCCACACTGAATTATACTAATTGTTCCTAAAGGTATGTATGCTAACGGACAATCACAACTGTAACGTACTAAAACTAACTGCCTTTCCAATTTTGAAATATTATAATGTTGTCCACTTTTAATATTTGGAAAAAAGGACAAAAATAATTTACTGTTTGGATTTGCTAAGTGGACATTCTAAAATGCTGTCTTAGCTGGTATGTAGAGAAGCAGTATTGGATCTTTAATGACTTGTTTTCTTCATAGGTCATTCCAACAGTGGCAGATACCTGGTTCACTGACCCACATGTCATAGAGCTGGGTCAAGCTGTTCACAGCACCACGGTAAGCTGATGCAGTACACTAAGTCCACAGTTGCACAACCACGAGAAAGTCAATCACAAATCACTCAGGATATGTATTTACCTCACTTAGCTTAGTCCAATCCTTACACATCATACAAACTCTGACCTATGTGTGACCTGTCAGTGACACAGCTCATGAGGGCTCAAGAGGACAGTGGATGACTTCATAAAGTCCAATCCATGTGGAGCAAACAGGGGGAAAAACACCATTGTTTTTATTTATTCATTGATTTTATTTCCCTGCCTACCGTTGCTCTATACGCACCCAGTGAAAGTTTAAACTCACAAAGAAACTGCTCGCATTGATCCACCTTTATACATAATTACACAGGTATGTTTCTCAAAGTTTGTGTGGATTACTACATTTGATAAAATTAAGTGTGTCTGTTCCATGAATCATGTTTGTGATATGTATCTATGTGTTGTTTCTCTTTAGATATAACACACAACACAACAATTGCGTACCACTTAAATCACTCACATTAAAATACCAAGGTGACAAGATCCAGTTGCTACCAAAAATATTCACACATACTGCAGTGAAAAGTTTGTTATTGTTTTTGTTCATGGAAAGCTTATAGATTCAACGTTGTCTATTTGGAGAGAATGCACCTGGGACCACCAGGTGGCAGTGCAGACTGTGTTTGGTTTTGCCATCCGTTGCACTGTGCAACACTTGATTCACCCAGAGGTGCTGTGGTATAGTCGAAAGCAATACTTTGCTGTTCAATTTGTGTTTATCCTTAATGTAGTTGTTTGCCATCAAACTGCTCAGAAATGTAATCCCATTTTAATTATAATTACACAGTAGTATAATACCAAGAAGTGTTGGTAATTTTCTAAATACTAAAAAACTTGTTTATAACTTGGTTATCTTAAAATGTGAATGTAACTTCAATTATTATTTTTTTCTATCTTGAAAGCTGCATAACAATTCAGTAACAGTGAACTTTATGGGCCAAATTTAAAATTTAAGTGTTCAACATTTGTCTATTTTCATTCAGTTGTCAGGTTTTACTCATAATCTGTTTTATTTTGAAATGGAACAATGTGGTTTTCCCTATGTGAGTTTTGATTTTTGTCAGTATTGCCAGATGCAGCCACTTTTAGCCACTGAGCAGCTCTGTCAGGGGGCTATCTTTCTTTGTTACAGGATACTTTACAGGCTACCATTGCAAGCCTATTTATCAAACCTTTTCAGCTGCTTTTTAAAATATATATTTTCTGAATGCCCCTTTGCATATTTGGGGTCAATATCATTCTGCTGTTTTTTATTGTTGCTGAAGGCCCATCTGGGGCCACAGGCCAATGACCTGTCCATGACCTGCAGTAGCAAATTCAGATTATGTTGCAAGGTAAAATCCTGGATGTAAATTAGTGCTATCCGCTTACTCTACAAATGTTGATCCGCATAAATGGGTAGAAACCTGAGATTAATGTAGGTAAGTCCTAATGTACAGATTAAATGAGTATTGGGAAACAACACACTTTCACCCGAGGCTGTCTTGGTGTAGATATAAGGTTACATGGTAAAATGTCATATCCATTGTCATGCTAAATACATGATCATGGTCACTGTAAAATGGTATAGAGTTTATTTTGACCAGAAATGTTCATTGGTATGACATTTTTTTATGGCATGAAATGATCAGTTTGGGATTGCCAAGATGTGGGTTTATGTATATAGCATGAATGACCTGTGGTGCTTTATCCACCAATTTGTCATGCTTTAGGCGTGAGGATGTAATGTAGCTCCCTCTGTGTATCTCATACATTACTCAGCCAGCCATCTCTCAAACTCTATTCACTTTAACACTCTATCTTGAAACAGTCATAGCAATAAAACTATTTAACCAGTTGCTTGTTAAGTAATGAAAAGGAAATTAGATAATTACACATCCTCTTTGTAAGTAGGTCACTGAAAGTAGTATTTAATGATTAATAATAAATATAACGTAAATATATTTTACACGACAACCATAAGTATGGACATAAAAAGTATTCCTTGCTTGCATTCATACAAGAATGAATGTGAGTTTACTCATGCTTTTGAATATGAGTACTGTATAATGTGAACATTCAGGGAAATGGTACATATATATATATATATATATATATATATATATATATATATATTGTAGCTCCTATAATAGCTGAAGTAGTAATTTTTCTTTAGTGTGTTGCGCTACTTCTCTTAGTGACTCCTTCCCTGCCATTGGCTGCTGTGTGGGAGGAACAGCAAGAATGGACTGAGCCAAGTGGAAGTCATTTAGAATGAGGATGGCCAAGTCAGATAAGTGGTGTTGGTTCAAGACTCCAGTAAACACACGGCTATACATCAGCCATTCATAGTTTGAAATGTTCTGATCTTAAAATGGAGCTGTGTAAATGAATGGGTGAAGGAAAACACAAGCTTTAACCTGTTTGTCATGAATTTAAAATTAAATGTAGTGAAATCATATTTAAAATAAATACCCACAATATTGTGTATTTTCAAGTGTTTTGCTACTGTTTAATTATAATCCATGTAACTTATTAGAAAGCTAATACATCTGCTTACAACTGCATAGAATTTCTGAATAGTGAATCTGGTCGCTCTCTTTTAGGAAAAGTTGTCTGGAATACAGGAACTTCCTAAACTTACCAATAAGGAGAATAAGCAGTTATTTGGCACTATGGGTGAATAGACCTAAACAATAATCCTAGCCACAGAAAATATAACTTCTTCTACAGAACACTGAAAAAGAGACATCACACTCTTCTTTTTATTACCTCAGTGATTGGTGATTCACAGACTTATGAAGTAACAGGCATTTACGATAGACACAAACGTAACAACTTGATAAATCAGTAGATGACCACAAACTGTGTGAATGTGAGTGTTCACTTTCTGGCTCTCATGTTACTGTTTTGTGCTTGCAAAACCTTTTCATTGAGTACTTATAGAAAGATTGTTTTTTTTATTATCTACACCTAAGCCTGCTGTGTAGTCAGCTGCAGGGTGTGCCTCAGATTCGGCTCCTTCTCCGTCTTGCCCTCTTTGCATCTCACTCCTCCCTTTTCTCTCCGTCCTTCTCTGCGTTGAAGGAGCTCGTCTTCGCTCCCTGTATGAATTGCCCAAGCGTGCCTGAATGGGAAGGCCCGTGAGAGATCAGAGAAAGATGGGGAGAGAGAGCAGGAATCCACATGCCAGTGCCCGGCCCCCGGGGGCCCTGAACAGGGAGCAGCAGCCACAGCTCTAATAATAGACTAGCTGGAGTTCTGCCTGCCTGTTACTTCACTGACTAACTCCCTGCACCCTGGTGTCACACTCAGTTGATACATATACATCAGTTTTCTCTTGGCCAAAATTAGCAAGATGAAGACTTGCGTTAGCTGACTGTGTTCAAATGAAATGTGTTCACATTTAAAATGCACAAGCACAAAGCTCCTGACTTATTAGTCTATATCCGTTCCTTCTCAGTGTCCTGTGTGTCTGTGCATGTGTGTACATATGTTGTTTAATGTATATGTGTATAGTTGAATTGGTGTGAATTAGGATTATGAGCTGCATGTGTGTGGATGTGGTGGTGGATATGTGATCTTTTTCTATGTCATTTGTGTATGTCTGTGTGCTTCAGGGGTTTGTCTGTGCATGAGTCACTGGGCATTGGAGTGTGAATGTGTGTGTGAGGGTCATCCCTGTTTAAATTGGTTTTGAGCAGGGAGCCCCCAGTGCTCCTTCTCCTGTCAGCACTAATCCCCTGATATCCATTGCTGGGAAACCTCATCTTTCCTCTCCTCTCCTCCTTGTGCTCTTTTCCTTGTGTCTTCCCCTCTGGTGATTGCCTTGTCCTTCCGCTGTTGCCGATGTCCTCAGAGTGCTTTCCCTTCCGCCCTGCGTCCGTGTTTCCCCTCCATCGCCCTAATGGGCCCAAGCGTAGGAGGAAACAGAGAGGGCTGGGAGATGCAAATGGCCTGAGGTGGGTACGTGGGTGGTTCGATGGGGAGGTTCCTGTACTCAGAGTTCCTGCTGCCATCAGTGACTTTTTGTCTTGAGGCCCATCTCCTCTGATCACTTGTGCATCGTTTTTCTTTGACTTTTTTAGACTCCAGTCTCTCTTAACCCTGTTAATGCTTAAAATGACAACCCTATCAACATACCTTCCTGGATCTCGATTCGTCCCACTGTAGGCAAGTCTTGTTGATAGTGAGATAGATCTGCAGGCAGATGTCAAAATCTAGTAGAAAGCCTTCCCAAAATGAGGTGTATTCTTTGATTGCCCACATATTTTAGACCATGAGGTATAGCCTATTTGCCAGGAGTGGAAAGCAGTTTTTCTTGATTAATTTAATTCTTTTTTTTTTAAATATAAAAAAGATTCCCTTTTACCAAACAAACGAACATCCTTAAACAAATTACTCATAATGTTGTCAACAATAATAGAAACAAACCAGTAATCGTTATGCATTAGTTTATGGTAAAAGTAAATTCTGTGCATGATGTCTATAGGATACCTTCATGTTGGACACACAACATTACAATTCTATGTGGTTTCTGACTTGCATTCAGGAAGTTTGTATGGACACGGAGGTGACATCAGAATTGACTTGATGAAACTGATGTGACATCAGCTGTAGCTTTGTCCCTCTCCTCCCTTTCTGTCTCTCTTTGCATTAGCCATTAAGCTGCAGCGAACTAGCAGCATAAGCAGGGTTCTGTTCATCTGAATGAACTGTTATCAGCAAACACTACGTCCTCACAGAGCAGAGAGAGGCTCAGAGTGATGCCCCCACTCTCATGTGACGTGATGCAACTTTGATAGACGCATCAGCAGCCACAAAGTGACTTATCTAAGCCACATCAGCAGCCATAGTGTCTGTCAGCTGCTATGTGCTAGCTGCCTCTGGATGACTGAATACTCTGATTGTGTTAATATTGCTTTTTAAATTTTGTTGTTGAAATTGTGACATATGTTTTATTTTTTTGACCCAATCTAA